AAGTGGGGAGAACAAGAAAAGAATAGAGAAGGAGAAAATCCAAGAGAAAGATGGACATCTATCAGAAAAATGAGAAGCAGAACATATGTTGCATGTTGGGTCTGAAAAACCGAAGACTACTGGTGTAAGGGGTACAGGGATAAGCAAGTAATAGAGTACAGATATAATTCCTTGCAATAAAAATGAAATGTTAATGCAGATGATCAGTTATAGAGAATGCTAACCATGAACCTATTGTCAAATTCATGATCTATAGTGACACACAATACGTTTCTTGCAGTAGGCATATAATCATGCATCCACAGTGACACCGATAAAGGATTTATGCAAAATCAGTGGAAAGCTATGCAGGAGTTTATTTATGTAGTTTTGTATCTTGATGACAAAGTTTTTAGAGAAAAACTGAAAAGAGAGATACTGTATTCTGAAGGCCAAACGTCTCAATCATTCTTTCCAAAGTTTTCCAATCACAATAAGTTTTCATTGGCCAGGTTCACATATAATGCTAAATCACAGTTCAGTTTAACAATGAAGCCTTAAAATCATATCCACCACCCTTTCTTCAGAACAGCTTCAAGGATATTAGAAGTTTCTGCTTTAGACTAACCACAGTTTAGTTTATCTCTTAACCAAAGCTAATCTCAACTATGGTTTGTAGAAACAGAGCAGAAAGAAAGCAGGAGTCTTCCATCTCCTCTAGGGAGGCAGACGGAAGTTGCTAAAGATTATTAATCAGTTTGTAAGCTGCAGAACAGCCTCTTCAGCTTCTGAATGTGTAAGGCAACCCTACCAATGCCCACACAGTCTCTTCTTACACTGGAAATTCTTCAGAGGATGCTAGCTGGTGATATACTACTTTAGAAGTGATATCTGATGGCAAGGAATTATAACTGAGATTTGAGCCTTGGTTTAATTAATGATACATAAATGGTATGATACAGAGCTCTAAAAGCAATAAGGCTTCTTAAACTACAGATGACCCGAAGGTGAAATTCCTATATAATCCTTACTTATTTATGGGAAATGAATAGTTAGTATCTAATTAACTTATCACCATTCAAGCAGGTAAGTTTAGAGAGACCCCAAATACCAGAGTTTTGATTTAAGATTTAAAAAATTGAAAACATGCCTACCAAAAGAAAATTATGAGGACACTAGGGGGATATTTGCCTTTCCTATTAAAGGTCACCCACCTGCCTTATGTTTCTACCATTGACCTGGTTCACACATCATGGTAAGCCACAGTCTGAAACAAACTTTGGGTAACTGTGAATGAGCCATTGGCATATGCCTCACTCCTCCCTTTGCTGAGCTGAAAGGCAATAAACCACAGCTCTGTTTTAGGTTTATGTGCAAACAAGAGCTTGTGATTTATTTCTCCTCAAATAATCTACAAAAGGAAGCCACGACCAAACCATGGCTTCTTCTCATGGAGTGTTTTGAGAAACAGAAACTAAAGTAGTGCTATGCCTTTCTTCCCTCCCAACTGGCAAAAGGCAGAGTTGGGCAGGTGCAATTTAAGAAACTTGTTTAAACACACTGCACATTTACAGTAAGTCATAGTTTATTTCTAACTATGGCTTACTGTGACACACAAATGGGGACATGTATAAAATTTCCAAAGCTAACACGGCCCTTTTTATTTTGTAAATAGCCTGCATACTTTTCAAAACCCATTTAAACCTTCATTAGTAATCTGCAGTGGGCCCCGCTAGACCACTTTACCTTTGCTTTAATGCCTACTTGTGGCAATAGCAAGTGCATCTCAACACGCATGCATATGAAATATGAAGTGCTTACCTTATGAAAATATGAAGTGGTAAAGATTACACATACCAAGAATACATGCTATGGGGTGTGTGCTGATCATATTTAGGTATGCCAAAGGTTTGGAGGTAGGGTAAACATACTATGCCACACATCCCACACGCACAGCATGCTCCACTTTCTAGCAGACCACTTGGATTGGCTAACATCAGTTTCTTGAAGCTGAGCACACATGCATTTTCATCCCAGTTGTTAACTACACATTGCACTGATAAAAGAAAGTCCTAGAAAGCAAAGCTACAGGTTCAGTAATATAGATGGGAAAAAGCAACTGGCATTAGCTGGCTGTAAACTGGAATGGTGGCAACTGTTCTAAAGATGTAGCTGCATAGCTGCATTTATTCGATTTGCCATGCATCTGAAAACCTCAGCATAAGAAACTAGACAAGTTTAGCACTTTCTGAGGATAACAACTAATCTGGGTGAGTCCCTTAAATGTGCTTGATAAAAGCATTTTACAGACCTGTTCATTTGCATAACAGTGTTAAAATGTACACAAGCAAGCTGGGGCAAGCAAGGAACATTGAATTAAATTCCTCATCTTATGCTGAACTGGTTGTTCCAAAAGCATGCGTCCAATTGCAACAATGAAGCAATAATCACTCCATGCTTTACTATGGCTCAAAGCCCCATGTTAGTCATGGTAATGTCTAGGTTCTACACTTCAGGAGTACTTGACCTCATTACTGAAATTAAGCAGGTGTGGATCTGGATCGGTGCCTGAAAAGAAACCACTGGAAGCACTCAAACTAAGCCACTCTAAACAATTCAGAGAAGAGTAGGATAAAAACAAATAAAATTGCTACTTTGTATACGTATAACATATTAAGTACTGTCATACCTCTTGTTACGTTTGGTTCAGGATACGTCTTTTCAGGTTGCGTCACGCAATGACGCAGAAGTACTGGAAAGGGTTACTTCTGGGTTTTGCCGCTCACACATGCACAGACGCTCAAAATGACGTCACACGCAGGTGCAGAAGCGGCGAATCATGACCCATGCAGACGCGCACTGCGTTCTGCTCATGTTGTGAGGAGGGCTCCAGAACGGATCCCATTCGCAACCAGAGGTATTCCATAAAAGTTTTCACCTGCATAACTTATGAGATCACATAGATAACACAATCCTTTTCCTTATCAGTTTTCATGTTGTCCATAATATAATTGCACCCCAATTACCGGTACTTTCAGTGAGGCTATAGTGTGCTACTCATGCAAGTCCGCAGGCTCAGCAACCACACAATTTGAACACTACAATACTCTGGACACAATCTAGCACGTGTTCAACTGTATTCTGCCCTAGTCAATGAGACTTAAAACACTTTAATCAATGGCTAGATTGCACCCTGTATTATTTACAATTATCATTTTAATATCAAGGCCTTATAACTACTTGGGAACAATTCAATATTTCTTTTTCCTACGTTGTTTCTTGAGCACAGATTGTTCCACAGAGGGTATTATTAACAGAGAGCCATTAAAGACAATCAAATAATTTAGGAATGCAAAGCATACCAAACAACCAAGTTTTAATAGATAAAATGTAGGGCACCCTTAACTACAGTTTCTTAATAAACAATGTTTTCAGTTGCCTACTTCACCAGTTGTTTCAATTAAGAGTATAATCCTAATCTCACTTGCCTGGGAGTAAGCCCCAATGAATTTAATAGAATTATATCTGAACAGACATTACTATTGCATTGTAAAGTAACTGATCTGTAAAAGATTGGTGGAGGTATTTCCCCCCCCCTTTACTTACTGATTTAATAAAAGGATTAAACAGACTAAAAGAACTATACAAATCAGCTTTATTTTATTTTAGAATTGCAATATGGACTACATTATTATGACAACTTGGCTTAGCATCCTAGGTATCCTTAAATGAATGCAATGAGACTTACTTCAAAGTAGCCCTTAGTAGGATTGTTTCTGCTTACCACTACTTCGTTGCATGCACATTCTAACTCTGCACTTTTTAAAGTACACAAACACACAGGATTATTTCCAGTGGCGTGTGGCACAACTGAGTCCCCTAAGCCTATTCTACATTAGGAGGCATGAACTAGCAGAGCGCGCACGAGCTGCTGCTCCCTCCCTGTTCGTCTCCGGTCTATTCTCAACCCTCTTAAAGGAGCGTGCAGTTCCCCGGGAATCTGAAGTCGATCGCCGAGAGACGCTGCGCGGATCACTTTTCAGAAGCCCCGCGCGCTCAGGAGGGCAAGGGCAGAACAAAACCTTAGCGCGCGTCCCAAGTTGGAGAAACTCTCCCCAACTTAAATGATAAACGCTGCCTTTCCAGCTTCCCCGCAGATCCGCTGGATAAAGGCCCCTTCGCAGCCGCGCGCCTTTCCTCCCCCACCCACCACGGTCGCCAATGCTATTTTTAGGACACCCTGCTGGCGCACGAGACCCCCGCCCCCGCCGCCACCCAGCCCCCGCCAGGCAAGAATCTCTTCCCGGCCGCGCCTGGAGCGGGGGATGCCCGGCGCGTTCCACAGGCGGCTCTGGAACGAGGAATCCCTCGAGCTCCAGGGGGCACCTGTCAGCGGCGCCCGGCGCGGGGGGCACCCGGGGCCCGGCCTCTTGCAAGGGGACGGGCCAGAGGCGGGCAGGCAGGCGGCCTGGGACAACGCCGCCGGGGCCCGCTTCCGAGGGGCAGCGAGCGCGGCGCCGCCGCCTCCCAAGCCCGTGAGGGAAGGAGCCGGGCGGCCTTTCTCCGCCTGTCCCCCCCACCCCGACTCACCAAGATGCGCTTGAACAGCGCGTTCTCCTTCGGCGGGAGGCTGACGGACGGCATCGTCTCCGCCGCTGCTGCCGCCACCACCGCCGCCGCCCTTCTTGCTGCTACCGGGCCGGTGAACCAGCTCCCTCCTCCTGCCGAGGCTTGAGCGCTGCCGCTGCTTCCGCCGCCGCCACCTCCCGGGAGGGACTGCCCGCCAGGCCGCCGCGGCTACCAGCAGCAGCAGCACCGCCGTCGCCTGTTGCTGCTGCTGCTGCTCCTCCTCCTGGCGCTTCCTCCCCAAGCGGCCTCCGCAGCCGCCGTGCCCGCGCCCACTTTACCCCTGGCCCCGCAGCGAGCCCGAGGCGGCGGGCGGTTCACGTGGTTAACTGAACAGGCCGGAGAGAGGAGGCGCCGCCAAAATGGCCGCCGCCGAGGGCTTCCCCAGCCGGGTCACCGAGCCCCGCGCGCATGCGCCACGACCCCGTCCGCCGCCACCACCTCCTCTGCCTCACGTCTTCGCCCTCTTTTCTCTATGTAGGCTTAATAGCCCCTACAAGGTAAGTTGAGAAATGAGAACACTCTCCCGCTGGGAACTGTTGGAGGAGTGCGCCTGCGCGGGGCGGGGGGCGGGCGCGTGAGCGGGATGCTTACTAAGCTTGCCAGTCGCGTGCAGCTCAGCAGGTAGGTGAGCGCAGGAGCGCAGCAGCCCGGGGCTGGTGTCCTGCAGCCACTTAGCTGAGAACGCGGCGGGACTTACTGTCAGAGTACGTCCCCCATGAGCTTCTCCAGAGACATGGGTAGTACTGTGAATTGTTCAACAGGGGCGAAGGGAATGGTCTCTAGAGTGGCGCGAGGCAGATTTCTGGGCACCACTACAGAAATCCGAATACCTGCTGGCATAGTATTAGTCCAAAAATCCACAGTGGCAGTAATTGTATAGTCATCTATACTTTTGTCACTTGTTTTACTTTGGTGGTTACGTGGTGGTGGTTGTAACCCACGGGGGTTTCTTTATAAACAAAAATACTGTACATTTATTCTTATAAACAACTATACTGTACATTTATTTTATTTGTGTCGACTTTAAGTACGTTTGGAAGCGGTTTGGAAATACTGTATCTAAAAAGCTGTGCCTTGTAACTTGGCTTTGTGTATCAGCCCATTAAAATCAAAATAGCCACAAGGGTTGTAATGTTGTTGACATCATCGCACTATGATTGAGATTCTTGAGTTGGACTAGATGGCTCTCGGGATCCCTTCCGTTTCTACAACTCTATGGTTCTATGATTCTATGAAATAAATATCATTCATGATCTATACTCTATATAATTATATTTGTTTCTGCACTAAGTGCCAATTTTCATGTTCATCCAGGATATGCTACACAAATGAAAACCACAATGGCAAGCTTAATGTTAGGATTAAATTATGCTTAACACAAGGAGAACAAAGTCCCATAGAGCCCACTGCCCTGTTTCCACCAGTAGCCAGCCCAGATGCTTCTGGGAAGTCCTGAAAACTTATGGTACATCAAAAGCTTTGAACACAAGGAACTGTACTTCTACTGTAAATACTTCTAGAATATTATTTAAGACATTATAATCAAGGATGAGGCATCAGTGGCCCTTCAGATGTTACCGGGCTTCAACTCTGCCCACTAGTATGTTCAGTGGTCAGAGGTAATGGGTATTGTAGTTCAGCAACATCTGGAGGTCCTCAGATTCCTCCTCTTATATTTTCTGAAAATTATAGTAATGAGTTCTGCATCCTGGAGAAAAGTTGCAAGGACAAGGAAGGTCCATAGCTGTATACCTTTAGAGGTATAAAGACTTGAAGATTTTGTGTAGCTGTCGATGTTAAAAGCTGTTTGATGTTTAATCCCCTTTTGAAGCCATCTTCACATCCTGTGGCAGTGAATTCCATAACTTAATAATGTGTTGCTGTACACTTCTTTCTCTCTCACCTCTGTCTGCTTACTTCCTCTTTTGTCATCCCTGCAAGAACCAAGTTCTGCTTCCACACCTACACACGCTTCTTGGTGGACCTCTTGCAATGTTAAACTCAACGCACTGGAAGAACCAGTTTGTGATATTGCCTTCCTGCAACAATAGCAATGCCTCATTAGCCTTTGGCACATCATTGCAATTATTAAGAAACAGTAAATTGGTCTGAGGATGACAGACAATTTTCAGATTGCAAGGAACCGCCTATTCATAGACATGAAACTTTGCATGTAACGCTGACAAATGGCTTTTCTGTCTTTGCTGTTTAATTAGAAATTAAGTGTGGCCAATGTTATTCAATGTAAGTCCTATTGTGGGGCTTTTTCCAAGGATAAATGTGCATATAATTGCATGTAGCCTTGCAGCGCAACGCTGTGCATGTTCAGTCAGAGTTCCCACTGAGTTCAGTGGGGGCTTATTGCCAGGCACGTGTGCTTAATACAGCATAAATAGCAATAGCACTCCAGGCAATTGGACTGTCTCAGACTGCAATCCTGTACGTGCTTACCTGAGTGTAAGTCCCATTGAACTCAATGGAACATAACACTTCTAAGTAGACCTGTATGGATTACACTCTTAAGGTATGAAGCACAACAGTAAGATCTAAGACAGTAATACTGAAAGTGGGCTGTTGAGTACCCTCATGTCAGTTGCAGTACTTTCCAAAGCGTCTGACAGAAACATTCATCTTTCACGGATTTCAGTGGAACTCTTGTATATTTGAGATATGGACTACTTGTCTGCATAGTCTACAGCACTTGTTCTGAAACAATCACCTATTAAAGTTCATAACCTATTGTACAATTTTGCTTCTGTCGAAATTCTCACAAGTGGCCAATTGGTACATCCTTCCTGCTGTTAATTACAATATCCTACATAAGGAGTGTATATAAAGGCAGAATAATATCTACTTTTATTTATGAAGATTCTAAGGTGAGCATGCTGCTTCCGCAGTGTGTTCTAAAGTCACGGAAACACAAAACCACAGAGTTTTTTTTATGCTCTACTATCTCCCCACAACTCTCATGACTGATTGATGTAAAGGCAGTTTCGTAGCTGCTGAGCCAGCGTCTGGCTTAATACTGTATGTTTATAGGGGAGAGCGTTCCGAAGCAGCCTCTACCTACGGCCATGTGACCAGGAGGGGGCGCCTTCCCTGCTTGAGTCCTCTCCTTCCGGATCAGTTAAGAAGCCCCGCCCCTAGCGCTGTTTGATTGGCGTGTTCGTACTGTCGCTCAGGGAACCTGCGTGGAGGAGGAGGAAGCAAAACAACATGGCGGCGCCCTTGCAGGTTGCGCGGAGGTTTTTGCGGTTATCTGGAAACCCGATCCGAGGTGAGTCACCGGGGCCCCAGTGGACCTCCCTCTCTTTTCCTAACCTGGGCGGGACAGAGGAATGAGCTATTTCCCCACCTGCCCTTCCTCAGATCACCCTCGTTGAACGAACGTGGGAGCGTTTCATCCGAGTCTCCTACGTGTAACCTTCAGGGTCTGCTGGTTTTTCCTGCCCCATCTGTTTCCCACTCTCCATTCTTTGCTGTGAGTTTGGATGGCCTGGGCCTTTCGTGCCCAAGCTGCTAGTGGCGCCCCGTAGCGGCGGGCTAGAGCATCGCCTTGCAGCATCGGCGATAACGCTGTGCGGGAAGGAGAAGGGTTGCGGGGGCTGCTGAGGATGAGCTGAATGGACATAGTTACCCTTTTCCTTCCGTAAACTTTCACACCCTGCCCAATTTTCCGTTGCTTACAAGCTCCCTGTAAGAAGCTTGTATGTTATTTCTTTACTAGCTGGTTCAATGCACGTGTTGTTTCATTTACAGTGGTACCTCAGGTTACATACGCTTCAGGTTACATACGCTTCAGGTTACAGACTCCGCAAACCCAGAAATATTGCCTCGGGTTATGAACTTTGCTTCAGGATGAGAACCGAAATCATGCTCCAGCGGTGCGGCGGTAGCAGGAGGCCCCATTGGCTAAAGTGGTGCTTCAGGTTAAGAACAGTTTCAGGATAAGGATGGACCTCCAGAACAAATTAAGTACTTAACCTGAGGTACCACTGTATTCCTATTCTTTTTTTTTCCCTGACTCTCTAGAGTCTCTTTTGAAGAGTAGGACTGAAAAAGATGTATGCCAGAGATCCTAGAGTAGTGGTTCCCAACCTTTTTTTTTTTTTTGGCATGCCCCATCTAAGCATCTTTAGGCATCTCTTTCCCATATAATTCTTCTTATTCAAAAAGTGAACTCCTATTCACGTGGAGGAAGCCTAAAAGCCCATTAACTGTTTATAACTCAAATTGCCTCCCTGTGGGGCATGTGCCCCACGTTGGGAACCATGGTCCTAGAGAGTTGGCATAGGGCAGAGTGGGTAGAAGGTAGATTGGGATCTATTGGTAGATGTCTGGGTGACCTGCAGTATTTGACAAGGCTTTCTACCTGTCAATTGTCTTAAAAATAGTAATAGCAAAACACTTTTTGCATCTAAACTAGACTGCTAAAATTAAGGCGGCTAACCAGGAGCAGACTTCTGTGTGAAAGGACTCTTAGCTCAGTTTAGTCTCTTACTGAAAACAAATTCCTAACCTCGGAATGTGCTCAAGTGGCACCCTTTTGTAACTCTATAGATACATCATTTGTTTCTGGCTGTATTTGGTATGTATTTGGGTTCCAGTAAACAAAGAAAGTGTATCTGACCTTTCTGAAATCTGCTGGTCCCTGAAGTAACTATTGATACAGCAGTAGCAGAGTCTGTTTGGAGTGTAGTCCAAAACAGCTGGAGAGCACCAGGTTGGAGAAGGCTGGGCTAGATGGTCTGATGCTAAAAAGCAGTTCTTGTGTGTTGCATTTGCATGTGCTATTTCTTCGTATCAAAATGAACTCGGTTCTTTACCTCTCCTCTTGGATAATTAGACAGCCATTAAAAAATACAATAAACTATCTTAGTCACATCTTCCCTGCACCTGCTCCCAAATACCATGGACTGTTTTTACTCTCATCTTCTCTAATCCTCTCCATGGATGTTTCTTCTTCCTTGCCATGTTTACTTTTCCTCTAGATTATGATTTGTGTGGAGATAAGAAGTGACTGAAACAAAGCATGTATTGGTGCTTTGTCTATAAAAGAACTTAAAAGCTTAAAAAAAAATCTTTTCAGGGTTTGGGTGAATTAAGTGGGAACAAAATAGCATAATACAGCAGTACCTCGGGTTAAGTACTTAATTCGTTCCGGAGGTCCGTTCTTAACCTGAAACTGTTCTTAACCTGAAGCACCACTTTAGCTAATTGGGCCTCCCGCTGCACGATTTCTGTTCTCATCCCGAAGCAAAGTTCTTAACCCGAGGTACTATTTCTGAGTTAGTAGAGTCTGCAACCTGAAGCATATGTAACCTGAAGCGTATGTAACCCGAGATACCGCTGTACTGAAACTGTAAGAATAGCAGTAGATTGGTTTTGAAAACATAGCCTAGGTTAGAACGAAAAATAATTTTTGCAATCAAGCCACAATGAAGGAGTCAAAAAGAACAGTGACTTGGTCTATATTGACTGAAACAGAGACATTAGGGAACATCTAGAGTTGTCTTCTGAAATACTGAATATTAAAATATCAGTGCTTAATACTGTCTCTTTTGTTTGCCCTGATATTGCTAAAAGAACCCTTTCCTATTATCTGTTCCATCCCCATTAGACAAAGTCCATTCTAAAAACCCTGTTACGTATTCTTTCCTTTAACACAAAATGTTACCATATTGCTGTGCTATTCTTTACAAATATTAATTCATATAGTAACTGCTATGTCAATTTATCACATGGAATGAACATTTCCAATTTGTACAGTTTCTGCCACTGTTCTTATAAGTCAAGGTGATCAATGACTGACTGAAGAATTATTCCAACAGAATGCAGTGAAAGCCCCTTTTCATAAGTAAACTGCTCGCTCTCTCCTCCAAAATTTTGTCTCAGAACTAACATGTTTCTAAACTCCTTTATTTCAGAACCATCTCGTTCTGCGTTCAGGGCACAGCCTGATGATATAAACAGACCGAACTGGGTTAAAGTTGGCCTGAGTTTTGGTGCCTCAATAGCAATATGGGTGCTGGTAAGAATTACACTGTGGATGTGATTAGCAGTGTTTTCAAAGTAACTCTTCCTTAGTCAGTTACTTTTGTCAATAAAGGAAATGTGATAATACGTTATGCTTAGTTTGGGTCAACTAATTACTAATCATTTGAAAAATTACAGTTCCACATTCAAGGCACGTTGTTGATTGGCTTGGTTTGCACATATACCAAGTCATTGTTTGTTTAACAAATCACAAGTTAACCACAAGTTGTTCCTTGAATGATCAGTTAAACCATTACTTTTTTCTTCTAAAGTTTGGTTTGTTTTCCAGCTATTCTTGTTTGGTGAGTGGCCAGGCAAACCATAGTGCTGAAATCTCAAGCCATAATTAAAACAAGATGAGTGTTATAAACCAATAAATCATGTCTTCAGATCTTGTTTTCTTGGCAAACTATAGTTAAACCTGGGCAAGGTTTGCACAGTAATCATAAGCCATAGTTTAATAAAGTGTGGTTTAGCTTTATGATGTGCAAATTAGACCACTGTAAGTGTTTATATGAGTGGAAATGCATTATTTAGCAGCATTTCAAAGTATAAGAATGAGTAAACTGTTCTTGCTACAGCTTTACAAGCTGGAAACTAAAATTTACACCCACTCTGTTCCCACTCAGCCTCCAGAAGGTTCCCCACAAAGGAATGTATTCTTCCAGCTGAAAAAGGTTGCCTACCCCTGCAATAATAAATATTTAATTTTGAATGTATAATTAATTAAATGGTTTCAGATCAGCCCTTAACACTGATCACTTAATGCCTGTCCACCCTAAAATAATCATTTTGACTCTGCGTGTCTCATGCTCTTAAACCGTGTGTATTTATTTTTTAGCTCCTAAAGCAGCATAATGAACATCAAGCAGAATATGAAAGGCGAAAAGCAGAGAGAGGTTCATAATGGAGGTGCTAAAATTATGGTGAGATCTGAATAAAGCTATAAACCTCACTTTTTTCTGGAAATGGTTGCTCTTGTTTATATAATAATCCAACTTGTAAGATTGTTGCCTGTAATGAACAGCAGAGATAACAAATGTTGCAGCTTTGTCATTAATACTCTATTGCTGTTTTCTTCAGTTTTTTAATGTCCTAGTTGACTCGTTTCTTTAAAAGTATTACATTTCTGCTATATTTCAAAATAAGTGCCTTGGTCTGCTTATTGTGTTGCTGTTTTTAAGTTAAGTGATAAGTGATCTGTCCAAGTTACTTCTTATGGTGCCAACTAATGGCTGACTTCCCCATCTGCCCTGCACTCTTCAGTTCCACATCCAAGACTTTGTCCCTACCGTAAAATATAATGACTGCATTCCAACATAATGGTAAACCATGCTAATGGTTTATAATTATGAAAATGAGCCTAGGCAAGCCTCAGGCTCCTCTACTCTTCCTTTTACCCTTCTTTATCATGTGAGATGGAGGCATTTGGAAGCTTTCACTTCTGATTTTGTTTAACCATGGCTTAGTGACGTGTCTAAACCATGGCAAATTGTGGTTAGTTGAAGCAGACCAGTTTTAAACCACGGGGTATGAACCTGGCTTGATTCAATTAACCAGAGTTAAGATTAACCATGTTTCAGGATTTTCTAACCTATGATTAGTCAAAATTATAAGTCGAAGCTAGATTTTGCCAACTGTGCCTGTGGGAGAACACATGAGCCTGAGGCTCACCTGGGCTCATTCTTACAATAAAAAGCAATTGTGTATCATTATATCCAAATGTAGGCTACATTATATTCTCAATTGTTGCTCAGAGCTCCTGTTCCCCATTGTTTTAAATAACAGGACAGTAGGAGAAGACAGAAAGTGAGTCTCTTCTGCATTGTATTATTAGCAGCCATGCAGCTGCTAATTATAGATGTGTAAATATGTATTCTTGGCCTTGTCTTCTGTCATCTCCCACTAAAGAGCAGAAAGCAGGACAGCTATGATGATTGCTGCACCTTTGAGAGATGCAAATGATTGATTTTGTGATACGGTTTGCATTCTGCAAATTCTCAAACACACTGCTATTTTCATTAAAGATTGCCTACTGGACATTCACATAGCACTGTCCCTGTGCTGTACTCTGCTGACAGCATGGAATGGATGGAGGCATAGCATGCTGCTCAGTTCAGCATTACACTGTTTCTATAGCAAACTCATTAATCCTGGTATTTTGTCCATTGTTTCCCTATTAGTATGTTCCTGGCTTTTAAACTGAAGTAATCACATTCTACTTTAGCAGCTTGCGATTATTTAACAAACTAAATACGGTATTGATTAAAATACTGTTTATCTGATTAACTATCATCAGTCACTTAGTCACATTAGGCACTTAGTTATTATTTTTCTGTGACAAAAGAGACAGACCAAGAGTACAAAGAGTACTCAGGCAGGGTTAGGCAATCACTTTCCCCATTGTTAATTTTGCATCAAAATCCGTAAGACTGTCATGTTTCCTGACTTTGAAAATACCCTGTGGGCCATGTAAAGACTGCACCTGTACAGTCTTATAGTATGGCTTAATTACCTCCTCTCTTTTCTAGGTTGAAGATGGTCTCCATAGAAACTGTTACAGCCAATACGTAGTCTACAAGGATATTTTTGTGTTAGTAGATAACCCATTGGTTGTTGGATTAACTCCAAACTAATTCTAATTTTCCTGAAATAAAGCAAAGAAAGCATGGAAGGTGGTTGAAATTTCTATGCTTCACATGGTTGCTTCTAAAGGCTATAAATAAAATATATTCCATCAGAAAAAAAGTTTCTGACCCTATTTTGTATAGAAAAATAACGTATGACAGTGCAATCTTGTATGTTGAACTCAGTAGGACTTTGTCTCACAGGTGTGTAGGATTGCAACATGATTTATTGACTTCAGTTGTGCATATTAGCATTTGTATTCCTTCTCAGCATTTTTTGTTCATTAAAAGCAACCCTAATTATATTTACTATCAAAACTTTGAGGCTACTGCCACTGTAGATCATACTGCAGATCATATGAGAAGATTCTGCTGCCGTGTTTACATTGTTTTCTTGGAGTAACAGTGCAGTAATAAAGAGCATAAGGAGAATATATGGGATATATTGGAATTTGGTTCAACTCTTCAGCTTTGCATTATTTAACAGTTTCCCTGTTCATTTCTTGTCAACCGAAGTGGGACTCCTCTGTTCCTCTTTAAAAAATGTATAAGAATCTTATGAGGGTATTCCTAAATATTTCCTCAACATGTAATACTTTCACAGCAAGTGGATGATTAATTTCCCTTATGGATCATCCACACTACTCTTTCATATTCTCAAGAGTTGTTTCTAGAATTAGAGTGGATTCTTGAATTAAGTTATATTTCAAGGTTGATTCACCTACAGCACATTTCTGCGCCTCTTCTTTTCAAGCTGAAGATAATTGGCTGTGTCACACTACTATATTTTCAAAGACTGCAAGGCAAACTGGCATCATAATTTAAAATAAATTGGCTAGAAGAAGAGTTTGGATTTGATATCCTGCCTTTCACTCCCCTTCAGGAGTCTCAAAGCGGCTAACATTCTCCTTTCCCTTCCTCCCCCACAACAAACACTCTGTGAGGTGAGTGGGGCTGAGAGACTTCAAAGAAGTGTGACTGGCCCAAGGTCACCCAGAAGCTGCATGTGGAGGAGCGGAGACGCGAATCCGGTTCCCCAGATTACGAGACTACCGCTCTTAACCACTATACCACACTGGCTCTCACTTGTTTCACTTGTGTATTTCCAAATTTACTTAACAGCCCTTCCTAACGTGATGCTTCCTTTTCTTTATTTGTCCTTTGTTTAGGTTATTTTTAAAAATATTTTGCTTCCCATTGATCCCAAGGGGAGAGAAAATAAGTATTCCAGCTCTAGGGTAGGAATACTTTCCCACTCCCTCTGTTCTGAAGGCATGTCAGTTCTAGCAGATGGGGATCCACAGCATTCTGTGTCCACCAGAACCTCCCCAGAGACCATAAGATTGCAGCCTTAGTCATGCCATCCTGTAGAAGCTATGTAAAACAATCTTATGCATGTTTATGCAAGATTAAATCCTCAGTTAATTGAGGCCCAGATTACCATACATAGGATGGCAACTGAATGCAAGCACTCAATACTTTTAAGAATCTATTTTGATTCATTTGAAGGTTTCCTAGAAGGTTTATAGGCACATGTTATTTTACAGGCATTTAGCAGAATTTTTTGCAATGTTTTTTGTTCTCATCCCATTTCCTACTTCTTGTAGTATGACTGTTCAAATTCTATATTTTTGAGTGTGAAAAAATCATAAATAAGAAATGCTTTCATATATTAAAGTAAGAGAATTATTGTAAATAATAATAATAAAATATTTATTTATACTCATTTTTCCACTGATGGGACTCGAAGCCACTTAGATAAAAATAAGAACCACTTAAAACATAGATAAAACAACTAGCCTCTGAAGAAGTGGAGGGAACGAAAGCCAACTAAATAAAAAATGACATTATGTGAAATGTGTTTCTTTTATAGCTCATCTGGAAACTGGATAAGTGGTTGTGGGTTCTACACTCACCATTCTACTGACTGGCAACAACAGAACACATTCAAGCCTAATTTCAGTGGGGGAAGGGGTCCAGGAAAGCTGCTGCAGGCAGACATGCGTACCTGGGGAAGTTGGCTTGGAACTTAAGGCTAAGCACATAAGGGGCGTTTCATAGTATCATCTCCTCCAACCCACTGCAATGCAGGGATATTTTGCCCAACCCCAGGGCTTGAATCCATGACCCTGAGATAAAGAATCTCATTTACTATGAAATTCTGCTATAAGCCACTGCCATTTTAAAACAGAACAGAGGTACTTTGGTCACACAGAGGACTTTGCAGCAAGGTTGCAAGCTTCCCCCTATTTTTAGTGACAAGAAAAGTGGTATACTGTATTAGCCTGGCCCACTCTTGTAATGCCAAGATGGGGGAGCAGCTCTAATTCTCATTCAGGGGTGATGAAAACATGGTGCTCGGAGACGCTACTGTTTATTAATCCTTTACATTACAACACGCAGCTTTGCAAATGGGTTAGAGCTCGGTCCTGCCTCAATTTAACCTATATTACCATGATCCTAGCTAAACAGCACTGGCCTGTCTTGCCAGTTTATTGAGGTGCCAATATTGGTGTGTGAGCGCCTGCAGCTACTTCCTTGTAATAAGGGGAAGAAATTCTGGGGCTGCACCTTTGTTCAGGCAAAAAGAGCCCCTTTTCCAGCCAGTTTGGGGGTGGGCTTGGGAAACCGCACTTACCCACCCGTCTTAAATGCCCCCCAAGTTACATACAAAACACAGCTAAGCTCCAATTCTGCAAATACTGTCAAGCCACTGGCGTCCTGGGGCGCGGTTTGCATGCATGGGGTGTGTGCGTTCCGTTGGGCAAAAGCCTCCTGCAGCAGACACATTCCACCACCTCCCACTTCCCCAGTTCTGCAGGCCCTTCTTGTCGTCCTAGTCGAGGCTGTTCCTCTGAAGGTGAGGGGGCAGCGGGGAAGACTCCCGCCCCCTCGCAGGTCCCCACCGCCCTGGGGGCCAGGCCAGCACGGAAAGGCTACCGCTTTGAAGAGAGCCGCAGGGCAAGCTGAGCGCACGCACGCACGCAGGCAGGCAGGGCGGAGCCGCGCGCGCTTGGATTGGCCGAAGTCTCGCCTTTCGTCGCCGCCTCGCTCTTCCCCGTCTCTCCCGCGTCTCCGCCTGTCACTCTTGTCCGAACAGGAGAAGCTCTCCAGGCGACGAGGCGAACCCTTGCGCGGCAGCCCACTCTGCGCCGCCGCCGCCGCCGCCACCATGCACCTCTGCAGCTTTGCGTGGCGCCCTCTGGCCCGCCGCCTCACGCAAGGGGCTGCCCCCTTCGTCCGCGGACACGGTGAGTTTGGAGGGTGGGGAAGGGGCGGAGGGGTCGCGCGCGTGGCTGCGCCGTCGAAAAAGCCCCCCCAGAAGCACGCCAAGGCGAGGAGCGGGGGCTGGTGACGAGCCGCGTGGCTCTGCTGGGCGAGGAGGGCGCGCAGAGGTTGAGGGCGCCGGTGTTTGCGTTGGCTGCCTGGGAAAGGAGACGCGAAGGTCACGGCGCTGAGGCAATGGAGGGGAGCCGAGAGGACGCGGCTCCTGGCGCTCAGGAGAGCCGCTTCGCGTTCGCCCAGCCCCTCGGCGCCGGCGAGACCCAGGAGGCTCTTTCTGGCGGCGGGGCAGCAGCATCTTAAGCCCGGGGTGGGAGGAGAAGAAAGCCACCAGAGCCTCTTGCGTTTTACTGATTCCCCTCCGAAGTTATTTGGACTAGTGGAGAACAGGGTGGGACTGTTTACCGGAGGGGGAAAGATGACAGCCAGAATCACACACACACCCCCGGGCCAGTGTGTAAGCAGCTGACAGAAATTCAGGCTGAAGGGAGAGAAAACGGCGCAGGGTGTTGGAGAGGGAGAGTCCGGAAAATAAATAAATTAATAAATGGCTGGTGATTTCCCTTCTTTTTGGGCATGTGAATGTGGCTGAGGTAGCACAGACTGGCGAGAACTTGCTGATTCTGCTCATAAAATAATCCGTCCTCTATCTGCACAGTCTACGTTCTTATCCGCGAGGATCGATCTGGGCCTTTCTAGGTTAGAAAGATGGATCCTGCTAGTTAAGCACTGTACACTGGTTATACTAGCCCATATCTATGTCTAGTAGTCTGTTTTGCCCTCAGGGGATGGATTCGGATTAGCTGTGCTGCAGGTGAGGTAGCCACACTGCTCTTTAATACCGAGGGTGTCAGTGGGACAGATGACTGTGTTTGAGGATATTTTGTCCAAGCAGTATGATTTCTTCCCTGAAAGTTTTGTAAATTGGCAAGAGTCAGATTGGTGCTTCCATTGTTTGTTTGTTATTAGGTTTGACAAGCATATACTTAAAATGCTATACACATGTTAAGAAATGGCCTGGGCAGTGGGATAGGGGAAGGTTGTAGCCCCATTACTGACATCAAATAGGAGTGTATGGCCATATTCCACATGACTGTGCATTTTTCCTAGTTATATAATAGTGTGACTTGTGTAATGTAGGAATGCAGTAGCAGAAGTTCTGTTTTGAAAGAAGATGCCACAATTATCCCAAAACAATGTAGTTTACATCTGCACCGTTTATTGATTGAAAAAACGCTACAGGAGTGCTTATATGGGGCATTGCGGTAGGGACTGTGTGACAAGGCCCTCAGGTATCTTACATTATTAATTTCAAGACATGATGGTTAGACTAGAGAAACTCTTTGGAGCAAGGGAGAAAAAACCATGTCCATCCTTTTTTAAAACATTTGCGTATTCATAGAATTGTAGAGTTGGAAGAGAACCTGAGGATCATCTAGTTCAACCCTCTGCGGCACAGGAATATGCAGCTATCCCATACGGGGATCAAACCTGCAACCTTGGTGTTCTCAGCACCGTGCTCTAACCAACTGATTTATCATGCCCCATTCAAAAAACAAATGAACACCTGGCTTAAACTTCATTCTGGTCAGCATATTCAAGTCCACATTAAGAATGTCTTAAAATTATATTTCCACTTTGTATTACCTGGTTACTCTGTGCCATTCATCAGGTGCAGAATCTTTTCCTGGGATTCACCTTCTCATGTGAAAGGGCATCATGTTGTTGTTATGGGGAAAGACTAGCTCAGTGGTAGAGTACATGTTTTGCATGCTGAAGACCTCAATGTCTCCAGGTAGGATTAGGAAAGGCTCTGGACAGTGTTAACAAC